TTTTTTTTTTTTTTTTTGTCACGTATAGGTGTATAATTGTCGAATGAAACATGTGCCGGTATTTTTTTGGCTGTGAAAGTGTTGGTATTTCATATTTGTCTTGAAACTTGAAATGCATGGAGACGGTCTTTTATTTTTTATTTTTGCCTGCGAAAGTTATCGGGTTTTTGTGACCAATCAAGGATATTGATGCATTTTGTGAGATAAAATCAGTATTGGGGTCTGAACCGTCGGATCAAAACAGGTATGCGTACATGATCGGACGGTTCAAACCCTTCGTGCCCATGCTGAGGTTAAAGAAAAACCTTAGGGAGGAGAAAAGGAACGTACATTTTATCTCTTTCTCACACACACAAAAAAGGTGGCTTGGGCGCTTGGCCTTGTCAAAATTTGAGGGCTTTTAGGATTTATATGTTTTGATATTCTTGACTAATTATACTCGTCATTGTTTTACTTTCGAGTAATTGCAAAAGCAGTCCCTGATTGTGACTTGGTGATGTTTAGTTTTAATTAATGGAAAGAGCCCATCATCTATGTAAGCCACAATGACGGCTTACTTTATGAAGTTTTGAGTATAAAGTATAGTTTTTAAACTCGTCCCGAAAGGCTTTCGGGTCATTGGGTTAGTGGTTCAACCGTCTTTTGTTTATTTATTTTGATGGCACCAGTGCTAATGTGCTATAAATAAATTTATGAACACTCTAGATAGACCAATTCAAAATGCCTAACTAGGGTCCCAACATCAATGAAACTGACCACCTTGACATTTTTATCAGACAAGTCAACTTAGCACAGGCCCGTGTGGGTGCCGTCTCCACCTTTATTATTATTATTATTATTATTATTATTATTATTATTATTATTATTATTATTATTATTATTATTATTATATTATTTAATGAAAATTAGACAAGTCCATGCATATATATATATAAACACAAAGTTTATCAAAGCTGTGTCAATTTTTAGTTCATCGTGATTTTAATTGTCGATTTCTGGTGTTTCATAGTTTCCATATTTTATCTTACATGTTTGGTACTAATCGATATAGATTTGGACTCTTTAATTAATGTTTATGACAACTTTTAAAATTTAAAAAATACTAGTACTAACACCCCGTGTATTACACGGGTGTTTGTTAAAAAATATTATTGAATTAAAAAATTTATCCAAACCTAATAACAAAACATGTAATTTTGCCACATAGGATCCCGAAGCATGCGAGTCTGCCACATATGATGGAGATTTAGGGGATGTTTGGATATAAAAATTTTTGGATTTGTTTGGATTTTTTAGTTTGGTTTGGTTAATTTTGAAAAAGGTTGTATGGTTAGTTGTTAGTGAGTATATTAAAATAATATTTAAAATATAATAATTAAAGTTGGTTTGGTATAAAAGTATGAGAAAGATGATTTGAAGTGATAGTTAGTTAAATTATGCGAGTGGGTGAATAGTGAATTAAGGTTGATGTGATGTGTATAAATGATTGGTTGATATTATTGAATTATAGTAAAATATTGATGATAGTGGGGTTGAGTTAAAGTTGAGTTAAAAAAGTGGTTGAGTTAAAAATGTTTGGATTTTTTTGAGATAATTTTGTATCCAAGCATACCCTAAATTATAATCATATTTTAAAATTTAATAAATTTTTTATTTTTAGTCAGATTTTAACCTCAATATGTCCTTAGTTTTGACCAAAATCTTAAGATCACCAAGTGTTTTAAAGTGTCCGTTTTGATTCTTATATTTGGTAGTTAAGTAGCATTGTGTTTTGCTTAAGCTTTCGGGTGAAACTTTCTTTTTTTCTTTTTTTTTTTTTT